CCCACCCAGTCAATTTCATTTACTCCTCGTTAGCCAGAACAAGGTCACATAGCTAATAGGGTCTGAATTAAGGGAGTCTAAATTGCAAGGAAGCCTGAAGAGGTGGCGTGGGTGTGTGTTTAACTGGACATATTACAGCCCTGAACAAAAATTGGACTGTGTTACTAAGGGAGGAGAGAGGGTACTGGTTAGTCAATATCGTCTCAGTGCCTTCCCCAGAGAAGGTGTGTGTACAGACTTGATCGAATGTGTATTTTACCCCGTTTCCTATTAGTGCCACAATTCTAGAGGCAAAACGTATTTTCAGCTTACTGTTGGTGGTCACTCTGTTAGTCAAAAGCTGAGGGTCAGCTTGTTCAAGTGAGGATAATTTGAAAGGAACTTTTTTACACAGATATGGGCAGGACTGTATCTTTTGGTAGAAGTACCAACCAGGGGACGCCCTATCCCGGGGCTATCAATGCAGACACTGTTACTACGCCTGAGGAGGGTGAGAGGGAGAGTGGCTGCTGGAGTCCGCAAGGAGAGGGGTTGTGGAGAACAGGTCACCTAGAAAAGAGTAGCGCTCCATCAAGGGACACAGCTTGAGTCAACCTCATGATATCACCCTTGTCCAGCTGCTCTCCCACTGGGCACTCCACTGGCCACATACAACTGGAGGACAGAGGGCACGATCGCCTGTTGCTGTGGTCCCTACAGGCTGTCCTCCGGGGCGGACAGCAGGCAGGAAAAGGTGTAGAGTGCAGCTGAAGGCAAAGAGAGTCACCTGGAGAAGCTGTCCTGTTTTGAACAATATAAAACGCTAGACCCAACAATTCATTTTGACAGTACCTTGGAGGTTACTGTAATTAGGCCTAACCCATATAGTTGTAATCAGTTTACAGTAAAAACGTACCCTCGAAATTTTCTCCTGAAACTAATTTTGATATTTGTGCCTTAGAAACTATCAAACATGGGCCATGGAGCATGTGAGCAAGTCCTTATGTTTGGATCTCCTGCAGCGTGGTGCAGCGGACAGCATGCTCCCCAGCCTCACACATCCGAGTGCCTCTCGCAATTACCACCCTGATGTGTGGAGCTCAGGCAGCTTACTGAAGCAGCCTAAGCCTCGGTTTCCCAATCTGCAAAATGGGGATAATAATGGGACTTACTTTGCTGGGTTGTTGTGATGTGCTTAACAGAGGACCTAGCCTCCTGTGGGTGCTTGAGATATTGGTTCCTTTATGTTGTCCCCATATGAAGGAAACTCAGAGTCAATTTAGACCAACGCCCCCTTAACTAAGCACCTACTATATGCCAGGCACTGTGTTAGACACTGCATCTTCATTATTTTGAAACTTCATAATAACTCTTCAGATAAATACTGTTCCCATGATATGGATGAAGAAACAAGCCTGAAAACATCAGGAGAGCTGCAAGGCCGCACCGGCTGCATGTAGGGGTGAGATCCAGCCCAGGTGTGTCTGATGTCACGGGCTGTGTGTCCTTGACTGCACCCATCACTCTGCCACTTCCAGAGGCATTGGGAATGGCATTCATGAATTTGCAACATTTCCTCCTTTTGGCAGATGGTAGCAGGGTTTGGTGTTTAATCATGGCACAAGTAAATCTGTTTTTCTACAGATTTTCATTTTATAAAATGGGAAACAATTTTCCAGGGGGAAATGTCTCTCCTAGTTGTCATGACATCATACGTGGGCACACAGTCTCTTCAAAGTTCAACACAGGACTGCATTTTTTTTTAAATACTCATCTGAGGATACTTTTATTAATTTTAGAGAAACAGGAAAGGAGAGAGAAAGAAACATCAGTGTGAGAGAGAAACATTGACTGGTTGCTTCCCGTATGTGCCCTGACTGGGGATTGAACACACGACCTTTCTGTGTATTAGATGACAATCCCACCAACTGAATGCCGCCGCCAGGGCAGGACTGCACAGTTTTGTTGGCTGGGCTCTAGATGTGACAGCATAAAGTGGCACCTGGCCCAGGGCTGTGCCCAACTTACACTTCATAAGTGTTTGTGTAATGAGGGACTACACTGCTGCTCGCCCGCCCTCCCCCATGCTACCCTGTTATCCTGGGTCCGGCTAACACACGGGGCTCTGTTCTATGACCTTGTAGGTGGTCAGTGGGGGGTGATGACATTTAGAAGCACGGATGGATGTGGTGTGAAAAAGCTAAAGACAGAGAAGCAGCTCCAAATGAGCTGTCAGGCAGGCTTCAGCCACAGGTAAGTTGATAAGAAGCCCGTGAATCCCAAAACGTGAGTCATGTGGTGTGGGGCCCCATGCAGGACCATAGGGCCCTGCCAGATAGGCTGTGTCCACCGGGATGCCGCTTCCAGTCAGGTCTTAGATTTTCGCAGCAAGTCCTCCTGTCTTGCTTTGCATTCCCACATTATACAGGGAACACAAACATCAAAGAGAGCACCAAGTTCAGGAGATAGCAACTGATTTTGCCAACACCTTTATAAATATTTTCTTTAGATGTGTATACCCCCACCACTAATCCAACACTCAAGAATATTCCTTGAAAACTAAATACAGAGGAGACAGAAGGATGGACAAAAAAAGAGGCCACAAACTAAACCTGACAAGCTCAGGGGAGACCTGCGTGGTGGGCCTTACACACTCAGAGACCAAAGCAACCACATAGGATGGTCTGAACATAAAAATCCCTAACTAGAAACAAATCATAGGAAGTAGTCAAGTCCTAGGCCTGTAGCTTGCTTGATGGTCAACTTTATCTTAAGCAAGCCTATCTATTGTCTCTTTGCGTCTAAAATAACATACCTCTGAGATGTCAGAGCTGAGCACAGACTGCAAAACCCTTCAGTGTTATCTTCCCCGAATACCATCTCTTTGTGTTGTAATGTTGACTATCCTGTACTCACCTATATAAAAGAAGTATATATCTCTCCATTTTATTTTTTATCCAATACCAGAGATTTCCCCACTTTGCTTTCTCCCGCCCCCTTAATCTACCACTTAAATGATTTCATGTAACCCTCCTTATATCTCTGCCTTTGATTCATATGTATAAAATAAGCTGTAAAATTGTCATTTACTGGAGCATTTTCTCAATCTGTTGAGATTTTGCTTCCTGGCAATTGTCATTAGTTTGGCTCAAATAAATTCATACAAGACTTTTCTTAGGCTGGACATTCTTTTGTAGACAGAAGCAACGACATAGCCGACAGGCCCAGTATGTTAAGCCAAAGGTTAATTTGAGGAGCCCCGAATAATGGGTGCTTCGTTTATTGTCAAGGTCTGTCTGCTTGTAGACCAACTTGACAGGGTCTGGCTTTGCAGGGCCTGACTCCACCATTGTCAATCAAGGGCAGTGAGGACAGAGAAGGGGGAGCACAGCCTTAGAAGGCAGAGTCAGACCAGATGCCAGAGTACTAAACAGAAGACGGCCATAGGACAAGGGTAGCAAATGGAAATGAGTAAGGAGGAGCAAAAATACAAACAGAAAACACCCCCCTAAAATTCCCCCAAACCTCAGTTCTTGTAAATAAAACTCCTGAAGTCCTGTGACCATCTATTTAAGTGACAGGTGGAATGAGTTTGAAGACAGCCTGTCCTGCCCACATGGTTCTGGAAGGAGCCTTGAGCCCTGAGTTTGCATGTCCTGGGCAAGTCACTCAGCCACACCCAATATGCTTTCTTCATCTGGGAAATCGGGAAATCAAGGTCTGTTGCAGCTTTATGAGCCCATAGAGGGGGCAAGAGAAGATGAAAGAAGGCCAGCGTCAGGGTCCCAGCAGCTTGGCCTTCTAGGGGAGGCTCCCGCATAAATGCAGGTGGGACAAAATGCAAAATAAATGCAACCACGCTGTCCAGAATGAACCCTTTCAGTAGTGCGGTGAGCGGGGTGCAGAGAGAAAGAGGGACAGTGGCTTGGGCATAGACAGTAAACACGTGAAAGACTGAAGCAGTTAACCATAGTCTCCACAGGCTGCCCGGCCCCCTCCACCTGGACAAGGGAGCAGGGATGTCTGATCAGGACCCTCTTCAGGATGTTGCACCAGGAATGCAAAGTGCACTTACATGGGCCCCTCCACTTCCTCAGACAGGAAGGTGGCCAGAGAGGCACCACCGGGTTTTCTGGGTAGTGAAAGCTCAGGTGGCCACCTGCACACTGCCCCATGCTTCCCAGGGGATTCCAAAAACCCCTTCTGCCTTCCAAGAAAAACAGCTCCTGCTCTGAGGCTGCAGCCTGCTCAGCTCCAAGTGGGCTCTGCTAAGTGACATGCGGAAAAGGACTAGATTTGAGGCTTGGCACACATGGTGTGCACCATGCCGTCTGCAGCGTTGCCTCTGAAAACATTTTCCAGTAAGAACTTAGATAATGTTTTCCAGGAGCTCGAGGAGACCATCTGGTTCCTCCCACAGCCCCTGGGTACCGGGGACTTCAGACTGCTCCTGTCTGCCCTGCCCAGCCCTATTTCCCTCAGGCTGCAGCGAAGTGTCCAGCGTCCCCAGAACTCGCCTCCATTTTCAACTCTTTCCCCTTCTAGAGGGCGGGAGGCTGTAGATTCCTAGTCCCCCTGCATGGAGTTCCTAGACCCCAACAGTATTATTTAGGACACTCGGATGGAGAACTTGGTCGGCTTCCCGTAGAGGTTCTGAAACCCATCTCCTAGTCACACTACGGTGGGGGACAGTGTCCGAGCGTGGCTGCGGAGAGGACAGACCGGGGTGGGAGTCGCACTCTGCCACATGCTTCTGGGGGGTGTTGGCTTCAGTTTCTCCGGCTGAAAAGGGGCCTGTCAGGATTTGTGTGGGTGAGCGTCCGGGCCTAGTGCTGGTGTGCGGACCCTGCCGCCTTCCCCGGGGGACCATGGGGACGCCCGCCGTGCACGTCCTGGCGTCGCGCCGCCTCCGGGGCCAGGGCTGGGCGCGCTCCAGGCGCATTCCTGGCCGGGTGGCCCCTCCTCCTTCCCGGCCTGGGGGCCGGCGCCTCCCTCCCCTCCTCACCCCTCACTGCTGGACCATGGACGCTGGTGGCCGCAGGCGCCCCAGGCCACGCGCACCGGCCGGACTGCGCTCCCCTCCCCTCCCCTCCCGTACAGCCAGTTGCGCTTCCACCTCCCTGACCCTGTGGGCTGGACCCACTCAGCATCGGCTGGACACACTCGGCATCGGCTGGACACGTTCGGCATCAGTCGGACAGCGTTGTTCCCTCCCAAGCAGAGAGGTCCGGACCGGCGAGATGCGGCCCCTCGGTCCCCGCGCGCTCCTTCTGTTGCTGCTGCTGCTCGTCGCCGGCCCGGCACAGCTCAGTGCCCAGGTCAGTGCCCAGGTCAGTGCCCAGCTCAGTCACCGCCGCCTTCTGGCCGGCGCGCAAGACCTGGGCCATGCTCCATTGGAAGCGCGGACTGGGGGCTTGGAGCGATCTGGCGCTGGGTCCGGTTTTTGAAGAGAGGGGCCAGACCCCACCCGTCCCTCAGACACACCGCGGGCGGCCCTGGGGCCCCTAGTCACCGCGCAGCCCGTGCGCCCCGGCCGGCGGGAGTTCTGCGGGGGTCGGGAGTTGGGGGAAGGTCTCCCGGGATGTTGAGACGGTGGTCTCTCCTGAGTCCCCAGGAGAGGTGTTGGTTACCAGCTGGGTCAGAGTGTCCCCGCCCTTCCACTTCCCATCTCCAGTTTTAACTCCATCTATCCCACTGCCGCCCTTCTCTGTACTTCCCCTCGTGGGCTGAATTCGGGCCGCGTCTTTTCCCACCAGCGCAGGCTCGCTCTTCACTTTCCCTACTTGGCGTTTGAATGCGTTGGAGTCTCACAGGGTTTATTTGTTTGACCAGATTCACTTATATATTAACCAGTGAGAACCAGTGATTAAAATTAAGAAGGCACACGATGCAACATACAGAAGATATATTGTAGAATTGTACACCAGAAACTTATATAATGTTATTAACCAATGTCACCTCAATACATTTAATTTTTAAAAAAGGATGCAGATAAAAGTGCGTCTTCCGAAGGTGGAACTAGAAGTACAGAATGCAGAGCCAGCACCGCCAGGTGAGCTCTGGTGGCCAGAGCCCCTCCCGCTGCTCCGTGTGCTGCGGGTGTGCAACCAGCGGGGGGAAAATACCGCCCCAACAGTGCCGCTAACCGAGGCACCCACGGCACCCCTCCGACTGAGGAGTCTCTGCGAAACACCTACCAGAGCAGCCCTGTGAGGTCAGGTGACTACTGTCACCGCATTTTGCAGATGAAGGAGCTGAGGCCCACGGAGATTGTGACTTACTTAAGGTCACACAGTCAGAAGGAGTAGAGTAAATGTAGTCTCTCTCCTTGGGCTCCGTGGGCCTTTCCCCTTCCTCACAGACACTCTTGCCTGCACTTAATTTCTGAGCTGGGTGGGCACTCACATGGCTACCCAGAAGCCCCAGGGGTGCAGGGGCCAGAGGGAGAATTCAATTCAGACCAGTCCTGGGTGGTGTGACTGCAGAAGCCGTGAGCAGAAACGCAGGAAGCTATCAGCCACCAGGTAGCAGGGGCCTAGCGTGGGGCCATAGTGGATCTGCCCAGGGGCCCCTCACCCACTCTGCAGATTGCAAAACAAAGCACAACATCAAGACTTGAGCCCAAGGCCAGAGACACAGGGAGGTGTATCTCCAGGTCAGTGGAGGGGTAGGCGGACAGGATGTTCAAGGAGATGCAGGAGTCCTCTCTGCCATCATCTGATTTTATGGGGATGTCACTATCTCTCCAGGTTTCCTGGAAAACAGGTGAGACCTTAGCAGTTCTCAGAAAGTAGGGACTGTCCCTGGGAGATCTAGCCTGATCCCCAGTGAGCCCCTTCCAGGCTTTCTCAAAGTCCTTATCCTCTAAATCTTTGTTTCTTTACCTACAAGAACTTCTGTCCCACTCACTGGGCTTTGTGAGGAGGAAAGAGGGCAAAGAGATTGTCCACGGAAGTTGATTTAAAAATTCTAATGAGACTGTCCTTCACCCAAAGTCCTAGTGGTCGGAGGTCTCTCCCAGCCACCATCTGGGGAAGCCTGAGGGTAAACCACAAAGGCCTCAGGAACACTCCGCCTGGCTCCTTCTCATCTTCAGGGTCTCTGTTAGAATCAGTGCTTCTTCACAGAGGCTTCCCCAAGCCCACTCTAGACAGGCCTCGCCCTACCCTGTGTTTTCCTTATCGGCCTCTGCAGGGCTCCAGCGCATGACTGGTGATTTTTATAATGATTCATGGTGATAGGTTTCAAGTTACTGTCTGTCTTCCCCACTCTAGGGGCGGGGACCAGCACCCATTAGGAGCCCAGTGGAATGAATGGAGCTTGGTCATGCTGGTGCTGGTCTGAGCAGGACCAGGCTGGGTAGCCTCTGGGCAGATCTTGGCTGCATATCAAGTTGCCTGGGATCTTCTAGAAATCCGGATACCTGCCTCACCCAGAGATTCTGACTCATTTGGTCTGGGCTGGGGCTTAGGCATCAGTATTTTAAAAAATTGTCCCTAGTGACTTTAATCAAGCAGGTGCCTGAAACTCAAGGGAACTCCATCTGTCAGAGTTAAAAGCTGTGGACCTAGGAAGGGGCCAAATGCAGAAGAATTTGAGTGGATAAAAGATTGATTCATGAGAACCTGAGGTGACTTGTGTACCTGTAGTTCGTGACCCAAACACAGGATGAGCCATGGGCCAGAGCTTTTGACTGATGGGGACTCAGCAAGTGTTTGGAGAATGACTTGTACCCATAGGACCGTCTTGTGCCACAGAGGAAATTGGCGGGGCACACACAACACAAGGGCCCCTAGGGACAGGCATCAGAGCTCCTGTCTGCAGCCCCCAGCCCTGTCTGAGGTGCCTCTGTTTCCAAGTGTGTGCTCACTTTATTATATTAGGTGACAGCGCAAGGGAGACATGGTGTGTATATGTGTCTCTAGGTGTCTGTGACTGTGTGCACATGTCTTTGTGTCTGTGTGACTGCCTGGCTGTGTGTATACACATCTGTGTTATGTCTTTGTGTGTGTGCACACATGCGTGCTACGGCGGGGCAGGGGAGGTTGCTTCTGCAAGGGTCTGCAGCAGTGGTCTCGTGGGGATGGGCCGTCTCATTTGCTCCCCTGCGGTCCTCCATGGCTTCCCACTTGTGTCCCTCTTATTAGTACATCTGTCCTGAGTCGCTTTGCAGGTGACCTGCTGATGGAGAGCATGTAGTCGCGGAGGAGGAGGGGAGGTCGACTGGTGTGGGGATCCCTTGAGTGGGGGCCCTTTCTTAAAACTGCTGCCCACTCTGAAGAAGAAAACATTTAACAACCCCCTGCCCTGGGTGAGCAGGGCGCTCAGGGTCTCAGCATGCTCCTTGCCTGGGTTGGGGCGGGGGTCGTGTCTGTGGTGTTTCGGAAGGCTTCCCTCTCCCCAAAACCTCTCTTTGTGATTAGATGTCACAGGGCTCCAAACTCCACCATTAGACAAAGATTCATTCTTCTGGTTGCTCCTCCCACTTGAAATGTTGCCTGTTATAGTTTAATGGGGGAAAATGTTTTTGGTGTGCAGTGTATATTCCCATGATTTTAACCACAGAACTTCATGTGTTAACCACCACCACCGTCATGCTACAGGACAGTTCCACCAATCCCAAAGCAGTCTGTTTTTCATATGTTCAGTTTGTCTTCTTCACAGTGTCATATGAATTGAATCAAAGAGTGCACAGCTTTTGGTCTGGCTTTTCAAATTTAGCCCAATGCATGTAAAATTCTTCCATGTTGTTCCAAGTACACGTGTTTTTCTTCTTCTTCCTCTTCTTCTCCCTCTTCCTCTCCTCCTCCTCCTCCTCTTCCTTCTCCATCTCCATGTCCTTCTTTTACTATTGCCGAATAGTGTTCCGCTGTGGGGATGCACCGCAGTTTGTTGATCGATGACCCACTGAATTCAATGACACCTATGGTGTCAGTTCCAGTTTTGAGTGATTATGAATCCAGCTGCTATGAACATTTCCATGCAGCTCTTTATGTGAATGTAAATATTCATTTCTCTTGAGTAAACATCTAGGAGTGGGGTTGTTGAGTCATGTGGTAAATGTATGTTTAAATTTGGAAGAAACTCTCAAACTGTCTTTCCTATTAGTTGTATCATTTTATGTTCGCACCAGCTGTGTGTAAAGACTGGGTTACTCTGCATCTTCACCAGCACTAACCACTGTCTGGTTTGTTTGTTCCCAGGTCACTCGAATAGGTGTGTAGGGGGATCTCATTGTGGCTTTGATTTCCATTTCTATAAGGACTAATTACTTTGGGAAACTTTTCTTGTGCTTATCACATGAGTAGTCTGTTGGGTGAAGTGTCTTCTCACGCCTTCTGCCAAGTTTAAGAATGGAATGTTTTCTTATCAAGTTTTGAGTGTTCTTTGTATATTCTAAATGCAAGTCCTTTTTTCAGATATGCGAATTGTAAGTATTTTCTCTCATTTGGTAGTTTGTCTAAGTTTCTTTCCCAGAACAAAGCTTTTATGTTTTGGTAAAGTCCAGTTGATCCATTTTTTTATTTTTATGGATTGTGCTTTTGATGGCAAGTCTTTACCTAACCATAGGTCATGAAAATTTTTCTCTAAATTTGTTATAGTTTTGCATTTTTACACTTATATCTATGATCTATTTTGAGTTAATTTTTGTGTAAAGTATGAGGTGTATAATGAGGATCAATCTTTGTGTATAAATTTCCAATTGTCCCAAAACTATGTTTTAAAAAGATTGCTGAATTGCCATTGAATTGTCTCAGCAACTTGTCAAAAATTAACTCATACATGTATGGATCTATTTCTGCCAATAACATTCTACCTTGATTATTGTAACTCTATAGGAAGACTTAAAATTGGGTAGACTTTATTCTTTTTCAAAATTGTTTTGGCTCTTCTAGTTTCTTTGTCTTTCCATTAAAATTTTAGAATCAGCTTGTCTATATCTACAAAAAAAAGTCTTACTGAATTTTAATTGGGATCGCATTAAATTTCTCAAACAATTAGGGGCAAATTGACATCCAAACAATATTGAGTCTTTCAATCTGTGAACACAATATGTCTTTCCATTTATTTAGAACTTTGATTTCTTTCATTAGCATTTTTTAGTTTCAACATAAACATGCTCTGTTAGAGTTATACCAAAGTAATTTATTTTTGGATCTTTAAAAAGTGGTATTTTATTTAATATTTCCACTGGTATATTTGTAGTACATGAAACTCTAATGGGGTTTTCTTCATCTCATTTGTTCTCAGTTTAAGGAATGGGTATCAATCGCCCCGCAGCACCCCACCCCCAGTCAGGAGGGGAAATGGGCGGAGC